GTCGTTTCCATCGTCGTTGTCGCCGTGGTCGTCCTTCCTCCTCCTCCCACGTCGTCGTCGTCGCCCGTCGTCGGCGTCTCATCGTCGTCCCTCCTATGTCGTCGCCGTCGTCGTCGTCGTTGTCGTCGTCGTCTTCCCTCCTCCCTCGTCGTTGTCGTCGTCGGCGTCGCCGTCCTTCCTCCTTCGTCGTCGTTCGCGTCGTCACCGTCCTCCCTCCTCCTTCGTCGTTGTCGTCGTTGTCGCCGTCGTCGTCCTTCCTCCTTCCTCGTCGTCGCTTTCGTTGGCGTCGTCGTCGTCGTCTTCGTCGTCGTCGGCGTCGTTGTCTTCGTCGAAGTCGTCGGAGACGTCGTCGGTGTCGTCCTAGTCGTTGTCGTCGGTGTCGTCGTAGTCGGTCTTAACAGGTTTTGCAAACCAAGTTGCGGGTGGGTGGGTGGGATGTTTGCGCGAGCAGTGGAGATGACGACTTCAAGTTCCGCAAAGTGGGTTCCACCACGTAGCTTGCACCACACATTTTGCATCGCATAGCCTGCCCAACGCAGATTCTCCCCTCGAAGAAGAGGGGAAATCCACGACCCTCCTCCAAAGTTAACAATCCCGCGTTTCGCATTGCAATTTGCACGTAATTATGTTCATCGCCACCCTCCTCCCTGCCAGCTGGTACTATGCGCGCACGCTAATCCATCTCAAACAATATGTGTTCAATCGTTCCGCGCCAGAGAACCGTACTCAATCCACTCGCGCGCGTGCAACTGCCGAACTCAAGTTGCAAGCATTTCAACATCAGCGCATCAACACCCTTCAGATTTTGTCCGTTCCAGAGCTTGAAGAGTTTCTGCCAGCGCGCATTTGTTGCCACCATCGGGAAGCATACTACAATTGCAATAACCTCGTTTAACATCAGTATTCTAATTTCACCACGCGGCGTTGATCTGACATGCGCCCACTGCACGAGTCCGTATCACATGATAACATGGGGGGCCACATGTGCGCGCCGCCACGCGCGCGCGTCGATTTCCTTCAAAGACCATTGATTTCGAAACGTAGCAATACAGAACTTTTCAAACACATCTGAGATACCAAATGTTGTCGACTAAAAGTCAACCTGGATTCTTGCGCGCGTTTCTTCACCATCAGCCGTTAGCGCCATCGTATCGCCGCCGCTATCGCCATCGCCAATCGCCACCGTTGCCGCCATCATCAATCAATCACTTTCACCACTTGCACATGGACATCATCATAATCATCATCATCACCATCATCGTCGTCATCAGCATCGGCGCCGTCACCGGCCTTGCCGTCGCAATCGTCATCATCATCGTCACCAACAGTGCTGCTATCTTCATCGTTGTCGCTGGTATCGACTTCATCATGATATCGCGCTCGCTGAAGGCACCGATCCGCGCCGAAGTGCCCGCGCTGGCGGCAAGCGCCACCGCGGCCGCATCAATTGTGCCAAAACAGCTGGCCGCTCTGCGCGCGAGCTTGCGCGCGCCAGCGCAGCCGCAGAGATGCGCCAGCCAGGGCCAAGCAAGCACCGCAATCGCGGCCGCATGGGTTTTGCAAAACGGGTTGCGGGCGGGAGGGTGGGATGATTGCGCGAGCTGTGGAGTTGACAGCTAACAAGTTGGCAAAAACTGCATGCACGGCACAGCTTGCACCTTCTATCTTGTAGCTTACAGCTTGCATCACCGAGACCGCACCACAGATAACACATCACAAGTATCACGCATACGCTGGCAACCATCTAGAACGTTTGAATTGTTTTGGAGTCACTGGAGGCCTGCAGCGACCTACTCCGTACTCCTTGCCCGCAATTCTCGTCCTACTCCTCCTTCTCCTCCTCATCCTCTCTTGCCCTCCTACTCCTCCTCCTCTTCTTCCTCCTCCCCCTACGACTCCTCCTCGGACCTCCTCCTTGGCCTTCTCCTCGGCTTCCTGCTCGGCCTCATCCTCAGCCCCAGTACCCTCCTCCGCCCTTCCCCTTCTCCTTGATGGGTAGCGGTGTCGCGTGGCCTGACACGGGTGAACGCCCACAACATGTTCGCCAAATGCTGGGGATTCAACTGCATGTGCTCCGCCTGCAAGATGGACTCATGGAACAAGGCTGCATGGTAGTACATGCTCGCGGCAAAGCCCCACAGCGTGTTGGAGATCTCCTTCGGGGGCCGAGAACAAAAATGTTGGTGCTGAGCGGAATCGACGGAAGCGGGAGGAGACCCACAGGATCACCGCATCGATTCGCTACCTGACGGTAGTAACATGACAGGCGTGAGCAAGCGTAAGCCACAGACGGCAATGACCGATGGTGGATCCAGGGGCCCCCGGCATATCGAACTTCTTCAGACCTCCTGTCTGCTCTTTCTCCCTGGCCTGGGCTTGGCCGAGGCGAAGCTGACGTAACCTCAACTAAACCGAACCGAGATGAACACCACCAGCCCTCTGGGCGACAACGGCCTCCTTACAGCCCGCGAATGTGTCCGCGACCGCTACTCTTCCATCCGTCTGGCCCCTTCGTCTCCTGGGGTCCACACGTCGGGGTCTCCCTCGCCCTCGGTGTGGCTCAGAGCAAGAAGGCACTACCGGAGGAGCCAACCCCAGCGAAGCACCCAGACCCCTCAAGACGGGTCCAAGAGACCCGAAGACGGCTCAAGATGGCGCCGAGAAGCTGGCTTAAAAAAGGCACCCCGCGAGGCCACATCCACACAACAGAAACGTTACACTTTATATTGTGCTCTGTTTCTCGCTTTCGTCGGCCTCGGAAAGCTCCGCGAAGCCTCCACGAAAGGCCAAAGTGCCCTAAGGCGCAATCTAGAAGGCCTCCAGGAGGCTCGCAATGCAGCCCGAGGTCCCCAAGAGACCTTCCGAGGACCCAAAACGCCTGGAGTGATATCCAAGAGGTTCCCCACAGGGTCGCCACAGTTTGGGTACAACCTCTGGTTGCCCACGGTGGCTTGGAACGTGGCGGACTCGGAGGCCTCGGAGAAGTCCAGGAAACCTTGAAAGGGCTCCCGAAATGCTTTCCGCAGGCTGGCAAAAGGACCCAGGGAGGACCCCAAAGAACGCGATGCTGCCCTGTATGGAGGACGCGTGAATCGACGATGGTTAAGTCACAGCAAGCTGCGGTCGACATGTAATATGATGGGATGCCAATCTTTAGATTGTCAAGCTGATATAGTGCTTGACTGTAATCCAGGACGGGCTGCGGAACCATGTGCATATGGTTCAACACCGCGAGCGAATCCTTGTTCCTTGTGGTGTCGACAGTGACGCATACCACTCGAACTGCTCGTGTGCATTGAGCTCGCTCTTTCAACCGACGTTGGAAAAACGCACTTCTAGATGTGCATCGGTCTGGAACGGAAATGACGAACGTTCTCACGCTGTCGCCAGGCACGTTGTGAACGCATGGCGGGCGATAGCGCTGGGTTCCCGAACAAACATTCCAAGATAACGCATGTTAACCAGCGCGGATCCCAAACATTGTGTTTCTTGCAATATAAGTGGTGAATCTAAGTGGTGCAATATGAGTGTTGCGCAACCCATATGCTGCAATCTATGTGGTGTGATTGATTTTAACCACTGATTTGACACATCTTATGCTCTTGCAAACATCCCACCCACCCGCCCGCAACCTGGTTTGCAAAACCCATGCGGTGGTGATTGCGATGCATGCTTGGCGTTGGCTGGTGCATCTCTGCGGCCGCGCCAACCCTAGTACGCGCGCGCAGCGGCCAGCTAGTTTGGCGTCACCGGCGCGGCCGCGGTGGCGCCGACCGCTGGGCGCGGGCACTTCACTGCGAGTCGGCAACTTGGGGCGCGGTATCATGGCAACGCATGTTCGCACCAACGAAGCCGCGGCCAGTGCAGGCGCCGATGTGATCACGCCGTCGACGATGACGGCGTCCTCGCGTCTATGATGAGGGTTTGAGAAACAGTTCGGTATGCGCGCGCGGCCGACGCGCGAGAGTGGCCCGCGCGGTTTTATTTGACACGGATCGTGACACCTCAGCACGCGCGCAAAGGCGTGCGAATGATGTCGGCATGCGGCGCCAGAGGCCCGCTTGGCAGAATTCCGTGAAAATTTGAAAAAACGATGGTTTTCTGAGGAATTCGCAAGAGCGTGCGCGCAAGTTTTTTCCCCATATCCTAAGACGGGGTTCTTGTTTTTACTTGAACGCCTCCTACTCCCTATTCTTCTCCTCCCCTCCTCTCGGAGTTACTCATACTCAGACTTACCCATTCCCAGACCTACTCATACACAGACTTACTCATACTCAGACATACTCATATTCAGACCTACTCATAATCAGACTTACTCATACCCATACGTACGCATACACAGACTTATACACAGACTTACTCATACCCTTACTTGCCCATACCCAGACGTACTCATGCACAGACTTACTCATACACAGACTTACTCATACTCAGATCTTCTCATAATCAGACTTACTAATACGCAGACTTATTCAACGCACAGGAGATTCGGAGTATGTCTCAGGCGTGGCGCTAGTTTCAACACCCCAAAGGGGAGCCGCCAAGGATGTTTTCACGGGCCCGTTCGCTGCCAGTTTGTGGGGATGTCTCAACCGGTTTGGCTGTTTTGGTGGGCAGACTCGTGTGCGTTTAGAACAGTGTGCGGGGATGTCTCAGGCGGGGCGTTGGTTTCAGCACCCCTAAGGGGCGCCGCCAAGGGTGTTTTCAAGGGCCCGTTCGCGGCCAGTTTGTGGGGATGTCTCAAGCGGTTTGGCTGTTTTGGTGGGCAGGCTCGTTTGCGTTTAGAGCATTTGTGAGGATGTCCCAAGCGGGGCGCTGGTTTCAGCACCCCTAGGGGGGCCGCCAGGGGTGTTTTCACGAGCCCGTTCGCGGCCAGGTTGATGGGGGTGTCTCAGGCGGTCTGGCTGTTTTGGTGGGCAGACTCGTCTGCGTTTAGAACAATTTTTGAGGATGTCTTAGCCAGTGTTTTTTTGTGTTTGTTGTTTTCCTCCTCTTCTTCTTCTTCTTCTTCTTCCTCTTCTTTGTTTTCTTCTTCTTCTTCTTCCTCCGCGGGCCCGTCCGCGGCCAGTTTGCGGGGGTGTCTCAAGCGGTTTGCTCGTTTTCATGCCCGACATCCTTGGCTTTCAGAGCAGATTTCGAAGATGTCTCAGGCGGTTCAACACCTCTAAAGGGCGCCGCTAAGGTTGTTTTCAAAGGCCCGTTCGCTGCCAGTTTGTGGGGGCGTCTCAGGCGGTTTGCTCGTTGTCATGCCCAACGCCCTTGGCTTTCATAGCAGATTGTGAGGATGTCTCAGGCGGGACGCTGGTTTCAACGCCCACGAGGGGAACAACCAGGGGTGTTTTCACGGGCCCGTTCGCGGCCAATTTGTGCGAATGTCCCAAGCGGTTTGTTCGTTTTCATGCCCGGCGGCCTTGGTTTTCAGATCAAAGTTTGAGAATGTCTCAGGCGGGGCGCTGGTTTCAGCATCCCTAGTGAGGGGGGCCGCCAGGGGTGCTTTCAAGGGCCCGTGCGCGGCCAATTTGTGGGGATGCCTTAAGCGGTTTGTTTGTTTTCATGCCCAATATGAAAATGTTTCAGGCGCGGCGCTGGTTTCAACGCCCCTAAGGGGGGTCGCCAAGGGTGTTTTCAAGGGTCCGTCCGCGCAGTTTGTGGGCATGCCTCGCGCGGTTTGGTTGTTCTCGTGCCCGACGTCGTTGGCTTTCGGAACAGATTTTGAGGATGTCTCAGGCGGGGCGCTAGTTTCAACACCCCAAAGAAGAGCCGTCAAGGGGTGTTTTCACGGACCCGTTCACGGCCAGTTTGTGGGGGCGTCTCAAGCGGTTTGCTCGTTTTCATGCCCAACATCTTTTGCTTTCGCAACAGATTGCGAAGATGTCTCAGGCGGGGCGCTGGTTTCAGTACCCCTAAGGGGCGCCGCCAAGGGTGTTTTCACGGGTCCGCCCGCGGCCAGTTTGAGGAGGGGGAATGGATGGGAGGCTCATATTCAATCGTGCTCAAAGCTCACTCTGACTCATACGCACTCACTCGCATCAGGATTCGCTCGTCTTCGTCGGCCCTGTCGCCCACGTGGACGCGCCATTTTAATCAAGCGCTCATGAACAGACGCTCGCTATGGCGCGACATAAATCATGACTTGCACATATGGGGTGCTCCACGCAGTCAATAATTTGTGTGTTGGAAACTGATGTTGCAAAGCCTTTTTTGGCGCGCCACGCAACCACACACACATATATATATATATAATATATATATTATATATATATATATATATATATATGTATGTCCGCATGTATGTATTAATGTATATATATATGTGTATATATAGGTATGCAAATAGAGAGAGAGAGAGAGAGAGAGAGAGAGAGAGAGATAATATTCCTGCATGCGTGCGCGACGACGCGCGCGTGTGCACTTCGTCCAATTTGTTGCTACATATTCTCGCGACGGCACGCGAGCAAAGGCGTTCGAACAATTTCGACATGCGCGCGCGAAGCCCGTTTGGTAATCTTTTCTTAAAACTTTGAAGCACGTATGTTTTTTGGTGTAAGGAATTCGCAAGATCGCGCGAGTGCATTTTTTGGATTAAACATCCCCGTTGCGAAATGAACTGTTTTATCACGTTTTTTTGGGACTCGATTTTGACATTGTTTCGAATCCGCATTTTTTTATTATATATATATATTATTATTATGATTATTTTTTTATTAGGATTTCAGCATGCGCGCGCGACGGCGCGCGCGTGCACTTCGTGGCGCTTTTTGAAAAGGGGTTCGTGACAACTGCTACTTGTTGATAAAAGAACGTGCGCGCAATTTTTTTTGGCAGAAGACGAAGGGGGGGTCGATGCCGGCTGGGCAGGGGTGGTGCGAATTCAAATCTAGGATGGGCGATGGGGCAGAGTCAAATGTAAATTGCGCCGATAAAGGCGGGTGGTGGTGGTGGTGGTGGATCATAGTTTTGTATATAAAAAAGAAAGTGTTTGTGTGTATATATATATAAATAAGAAAACTAATGTTGACAAGCAAATTCGCAACTTCCATGCTCTCGCACCCCCCCCTCGCCCACATGCAAGTTGGTCCGCTAAATCCATGCGGCGGCGATTGCGATGAATGCTTGGCGTTGGCAGGTGCATCTCTGCGGCCGCGCTAGCTCGCGC